CCTTTAGTAAACATTACAAGTCTTTTATACACAAAAAATCAGATTTTATAATAAAGTATTTTTTACTAAAGATTTGTCCATGAATATAGATGGTATTTCTATATACTAGACAGAGTGCTACTACTCTTTGTCTCAAAAATCTCAAATTTTATTTGCGTAATCTTTAAAAACTCCTAAATAAATTTCAAAAATTTCATTGTGTAAAACTTTATATGTTATCTGTTATTTTCTCTACTCTAACTTTATAAAAGTTTGTTAAATTTGACTGACCTCATAACCACCAAAAAAAATAAATAAAATTAATCTAACTTACTCTTTTTTTCTTTCTAGAATGACTTCAAATTGTAACATGAAACTACATTTGCTTATCCTAATAGCTTTGAACTCATAACATTACACATTTATTTATAATTAAATTTGATTGTTTTATTGCACTTTGAACGCTGTCTAATTGCTATTTGTACCATTATAAGTTGTAAATCACTTGGCGAACATGCAGCTCACATTACTCTATTTAATTACATTATGCACGAGCTACTCGTGAATATTTGTTATTATATTATTATTATTAATATGTATTTCACCTAATCTAACTTCAACTAACATGAAAAATTTTCTGTTTTTACATTTTAGCTAATTTCATAATGATAAATAAAGAATACATATGAAAAACAAGAAAAAGTACTTACTTGGGTCTTCTTTTTTTTTGCTGTCAACTGTTGATGACACTTAAGACTATTTTTGTATACTAATGGTAGTACTTCACTATATATTTTCTTATTTAATTAAATAATGAATCATAGAACACAGAATAATAATGTGCAAAGAGCAGACAACATGCCATAACTATCACAATTTTTCTGGATTTGTAACTATGCGACAAGAGCTGTTAAAACTTCATTTAAACTCGTTGATGTGTTTCCTGTGGGAATAAAGCATGAACTGAAAGTGAAATTGACAATTCTCTTTACATAAAACAATGTAATATAATACATCATTTGACAGATGAAGACATAGGCTTTCTATTAGTTATAAATAATATGATACTGAATGGTAAAGATAACAATAGGCAGTTTCTGAAAGAGAGAGGATGTGACAGGTGGGCATGGCAAAAGAGGTCTGGTTGTCTATTTCATGGCTCTGTAGCCAAATAAGATTGAAGACTATGAAATGCACACTTTGCATGAGTGATGACGATATTATAATAAGTAATTTACATTACATTTCTTGGAGTTCATGCATAAAAAAAGATTTAAAAAATCAAAACGATTCACTAACAAAAAATGCTATCAAATATTTGCAATTTAGCAGCTTCTCCAAGTTTCTTTACTGTATCTACAACCACTCCTTAATTTTTACACAGATTTTGGAAATTTATTGTCTCAAAGAAATCAAACAGTTATTGCTTTACCTTATTCAGAACAATATTGTGTGTTAGAAAAGAAAAATGCTATTTCGATGATGAGGAACCCACTTTGAGATTAATTAATAAAATTGCAGTTTATTCTCTTACAAAAAGTATACCCATAAAACAGAATTAGGTACATTTAAAATCTAACTACAGAATAAGAAACTTTTTGTTTAAATATTTTACAGACATACAAGTTTTCTGTCACTAGAATAAAAGAATAAAAAAAATATAATATAGTTCAACTTTATTCAATAATATATTTTACTAAACATATTTTATAATAATAAATCAACTTTATTCAACAGAGCTGAGGCTGAAATACAGTCAAGAATAAGAAAATTTTGTGACCTGAAACACACTGTCAATAACAAGAGCTTGACTTATCCTTCTCTTAACCTTATAGTTAAAGGTAAGTCATTTAGCACTTGCTTGTAATGATACTTAACAGTAATTCTGAGCTTTCTTAATGTATCTTAATAAAAATTGGTAAGATTTTATTGAAGATTACAAATAGTTTGTACACCAAGAATGAGATTATTTTTATGAATTATTTCCAATAAAAATACTTTTCCATCTTATACTTTTCAAATTTCATTTGCTTAACCCCCTAACCTATTAAATATATATCAAAAGTTTTTTAAGGTAAATGTTATTTATTTCTCACTTTCTCTATCACATTACAAACTGTAGCTATTATCATCAATGTATAGTACAACATGTAAAGAAAAACTTTGCAAAAAAGGGATAGCTAATATAAATTTTTCAAAAACAATGCAAACAAGATAGTAGGGATGGCATTTGCATCATCTCTACATAACAGTACATGCAAGAATTAAAATATAGCAATATATATAACTATTCAATCACAATTGGGTTTAATTTATCCTATTTTTATCTGTTAACATTCTACTACACTGTGTGCCTGTGCTATTATGTAGGGATGATGCAAGTGCCATCCCTACTATCATACTTGCATTCTTTTTGAAGGATTGATATTAGCCATCCCTACACTTACTTCCTTTTTTAAAAAGTTTTTCTTTACTTTTTTGCTTGTTTTTTTTCTAACACAGTGTTTCAATAGACATAGGAAGACTGTATTTATAACCAAGTTCTAAATACAATGAGGTTCCAATTGTAATATTTACTGTTTACCTATTATTGGCTGGTAATTCCTGTTTCACCATGTATTTAAGCTTTTTAAAGGAACACGAAATTTCTGTAAGAAAGCTAACTTCAAGTTGTAATGATATTATCGTTTACATTAGAATTGTGATTTAAAAAAAATTATTACTAGTTAATAATAATTATAAAAGTGGATACTTCCTCTGAAACTATGTCACCTCAGTGAAATTGGTTGACACCATTGTTTTGGTTTTTGAGTTATCATGAGATAAAAAGAAGTAGAGGAAAGAAGAATAAGAAACTTAAAAGTTTTGCTATGATATTTACAGACATTGCCAGAACTTGTAACATAGTCATTACACAGATACTGTTATAAATGTACAGTATTGTAAAGTTCTGATGACCTACTGAGAATATATTTAAAATACCATTTCAATGAACAATCTGGGCTATCCCTACATAGGCAGTGCTACTGCCTGCCTGATGAAATGTTTAAAATTAAGACATATGAAAAATGTACTTACCTTTTGATTTTTGCCTAATAATCTTAAAAGATCTTCTTTCAGTTATAATCGTATATACATTTTCACATTTAGTTTATTTTTAATGTTTTGTTTTCCTTTCCTATCCTTTAATGTTATTATTCCTTATCGTGACACATGTCAATAAGAGTCCCTGGTCAATATTATGGTGTCATTGGCAGAGATACTTTAGCCTTCGGTAAAATGTTGTTGTGCTAGCTTACTACACTAAGTTATGGTTTGTCTGAGCAATGACAATTTCATAGTGAGTAATTTACTTTTAATTTTATACTTTTATGAGGGGTGGTGGATAAAATAGAGAAGAGAATATGCCTAGAGAAAATGCCTAAGGGAAATTCAAGAATTTTTTAAATATTGCCTTGTAGAATTAAGAACTTAAAACTCATACATTATTAAAATATAGATTACACAGACCTGCAATGGTTTTATTGTCTTGAAATTTTTCTATGTTATACAGTAATTCTGGTATGCTGAATCTGATATCCATTTTCCTCCATCACGTACAGATTTTTCAAAAAGCATCATATGTACTTTTACGTAAGTGAATCATTGTCACTGAAAAAGGGTCACATTTTATTATGCTTGAAATGTTGACTACCACTGGCTATAGACTTCTCAAGACTAATCATGAAGTGAAAGTCTTATCAATCATTTTAGAATCCATGAGAAACACACTGCTAGTATATAAATGGTTAACAAGCCAAACAAGTTGTCATTTCTGGATAGTATTTGTTTGTGCGAGCACTTTTAGAATATTTTTTCTTTTCAATATTATATATTCATTGCTATAGCAACAAGAGATTGTGTAAATGACCTAAACATATACTATTATACTTGTGGTAAATTTGTTGTAAATATGAATCTAAGTAAGAGTTTTTTTTTCTTCCTGATTTGTAAAAAATCCTCACATAATAGAAAAAAATTAATATTATTTTTGAAAATCTGCACAGCTGAATTATGAGAGATGCATTATTAAAACCATAACAACATTTATGAAGTTTAAATTTGCTAAGATTTTATGCAATATTAATTGGTATAACAAAGAAAAAGTTGTTTAATAAAATTTTGAATGTAAGACACTAAAATTTTGTGTCATGCGCAGTAAAGGATACTCAGGGCGAGATGGTTAATTTTAAACATTTCATAGCACTGTATGTTGATGATAATAGGTATAGTTAGTATTATAGTAGAGAAAATGGAAAATAAAATATAAACATTTACCTTAAAAACTTTTGATATTCATTTAGGAGGTTCTAAAGATTATGCAAATGAAATGTGAAAATTGTAATAAATAATATTTTAAAACTTCATATAAAAATCACCTTGCAGGTGAACTATTCAGAGTACGAATGCAAATAAGTACATTAAATAACAAATTTTATCAGAAGTAGTAGAAAAAATAAAATATTTTATTTTTTAGAAACTACATACTTATAGGAACAATCTTGTCAAAATTTAAACAATTTTGTCATAAAATACCTTCTCTCTGAGAGAGGAGCCAGAGGTCATGGGGTTAAAAGTTTGTCATGACGAGAAATACACAGAAAGGGAGACCCATAACAATAGGGTTAAACTATAAGTTTATTCAACAACTCCGTTGATTAGTTGACTTACTTTTTATGCCTTAAGTACAAATCTAAATGTACACTTATGTACATGTTTCAGTTTTTTAAAATGTCACTAAATTGTGGCGACTGTTTATTTTTACAGAGCACTATACAAGTTATTTATAATCAAATTAATATAAATTGTTCAGATTGCTTATAGTGGCATTCACTCAAACAGACACTACATGCTTATTCTTGATTGGTTTACAAATGTGTGTTTGTTTTAGTGCACATATAACACATTGGTTTACAAGATTTAAGCTACTGTATTGGCCACTATAAAAAAAAACAATCAAATTAACAAAAAACATGACTTACACTTTCAGATTCTTTGGATGCTTCACTTTCATACTCTTCAACACTGCTTTTTTCTTCTTCTATGGAAAAAAAATTATGATAAAAACTATCTATTCTTTAATAGCTCTAAATCTAGTGTTATTGATAATCAAGTTTAATTTTTTTTGTAACATTTACTAAAAAACATCCAACTCACTAGTGTTATTACTATTCTATATTAATAAAACTATAAAGTAACTTAGCTTTGGTGTGTTAGTTTGCTAACTGTTCCTAGTACCTACAGTACGTTTTAGATTATACTGTTAATGGTAAATGATAAGCAAGTTTCAATTATTTGGCTGCCAAGTAACTGCTAATATCCAGCATGACAAATAAACAGGCTGAATAACAATATCCCATTCCTGATTAAAACCCACATAAAACTGATGGTAAACGACCTGCTGAAAGGATGAGATATGGTCAACTGTATCCCAGCTGACCAAGATAATTGAAAATGTGGTTTTGTTTCCCGTGAGTCGGTGTCAATTCTGACCTAGAAGTTCATAGTAAGATCATTTATGTACAGCTAACTGTAAAAAAAAATAAAATATAGATAATTAACATTTGAATTACTAAAGTCCAGTCCCTGATACACTATATAATTGACATATGAATTGCTAGTGTAGTTCCTGCTAAACTATATAATGTATCGAATTTTAGTGAATTCTGTTTGTGACATCATTTATACTCCCACAGCTGTCTACACAAGTTTTTGTGTAGACAGGCCCCCATAGCTAGCAGTACCAGTTAGTTATTACAACAGCTAGCATTAGTCAGTCCAAACTTCAAGTAGTGAGATGGTAAAAAACACTATGATATTAATGCATTAACGTGATTCAGTCCCATTGTATGTATATTTTACTTGATATGAATTTTTTTAAATATATTCTGATTAACCCTTTCTCCATGGGTGCTCTTTACTGTGCATGAAACAAGGTTTTAGTGTCTTACATTCCAAATTTTATTATACTACTTTTTGTTTATGTTATACCAATTATAATAGAATAAAATCTTAGCTAATAATCCATATTTTAATAGTATACAAATTTTAATTTCTTAATTCTACAAGGATATATATAAAAAAAATCCTGAATTTCCACTAGTACGACACACGTGGCACATTTTGTCTTAGCATGTCATCATCCCCATTTTATCCATCACCCCTCGAAAATGTACGAAATTAAATGTAAAATACTTTCTATAAAATCATTATTGTTCAAACAGACCATAATTTTATAGTCATCAATTTTGTTTGGTTTCAGAGCTATCAATTAGAAAATCTGACTCCTCCTGCCACATCCTCTCTTTCACAATTCGTTGATAGTTCCCTCTTACGTTTCATTATATATTACCTATAACCAATAGAAAGTAAAGGTTTTCATCTATCAAATGACGTATTGTATAACATTGTGTTCTGAACAGATAACCGTAAATTTCACTCAGAGTAGCAGCATCATTCCTGGAGGAAAGTTAACGATTAGCTTGGATGAATTTGTAACGGCTCTTGTTGCATAGTTAGAAAGCCAAAAAAATTTTTAGAGGTAAGTGTATTTGTCTACTTTTTGCATGTTATTAGTCTATATTCTTGGTGCATTATTTAA